AAAGAATATTTAGATCAAAATTTGATTTCAATTAAAATTGACGATGTATCAGTGGAAACCCTTACCATTCTAAATCTATCCAGGACTCCAGTTTGGCGACTCAAAGTTATCGTTATATTCCGGTAATTTTCATGATATTATGTTAGTTTCTCTGCCTGTGCGATCAAAATTTACTACAGGTGATTTATGGCTCACACAATAATTTACAACACATTTTGTATTGTATCGAGCATTTTATCAAGTCAAGTTAACTCGTTTATTTTAAATAAAGATCATGGATACGCCCCCCACTCGCTAAGTCACGCCCTTCGTTTAATGGCAAAAGCCAATCAATATCAGTAAATTTAAAAGTAAAGTTGTGTTGATAACGTCAATCACAACCATTTTGTATTATCATCAAAATCAGCTATTGGAAATGTGATTAACGGAAAAGATCTTTTTTTAAAAGAATGTTTAAAACCCGTTATACGAAACCAAAATACTGAACTGTTGCCTTTCAAATCCACGCGTAATTAACACGCTGGTTTAAGTTTTTAAAAGCATTCACATTACATGTTTGTGCGGTGGCATTGAGGTGACATTTGCAGTTTTATTTTATCTTGTGGCCACGACTTATTTTCTTGAGGCCTCAAGATATTATCTCGTGGCCACGACTTATTATCTCGTGGCCAATACAATACAATATCTTTAAGTTCATATATTTATTTTGTTTCAGCTGTAAGCAATATATTAAAGAATTAAAAAAATGACTCAGTTTTCAGTAGGTTTTGAATACACTAGCTGTGCTCATTTTATGTTAATATCGGTCTTACTTACTGTGCTATAGAGTCAAATAAAGACAACATCAAGATTTTTAATAATTTAATAATAGATTAGTAATAATTTGGTTAATCACTTGAAGTTTACCTATGTTTACCTGTGTTAATCTTTAACTGAACTGTGCTTGTATTTTTAGAACTAACGAAAGTTTTGTTTATTGTGCTCGGATAATACAGATTCAACTTTAAAAAATATTTCACAATTTCAACTTCATGATTTCAAGATCGCACACATTCAGCTTCGCGAATTCACAATTTCAATTTCACTAGTGCAAGTTTTCGTAATTTAAGCATCTTGAATTTAACATAATGATTATAATGTTAATTAATTGTAATGACTTCCCTAACTTAACTTCATGAACGCAAATCAATATTCCATTAGAAATGAATCATGAATTCTAGACGGAAGTTGAATTCGTGAACTTGAAAATGTGAATTCATAAAACTTCAATCATGAAAACACGAGGTTTAAATGGTAAATTTCTGAGGTTGAATTGATGGGTTATGAGCTTAGTCTTTCATAATAGTTTGCATGTTGTACACACAACAAAAGCAATATTTTTAATACAAAACAAGAACGCATTAAATCACGCTGTGTTCTTTTTATTTCATTTTTTAATGTAGAATTAATCCTTAGTGCAAAGAGTGTAAATGCCGTGGCATTTTAAGAATCAGATCCAATTTATAATTACCCTACATAAATTACAAACATTTTTTTTTTCTATATCAATTGATACTCACAAGTACAAGAGGGTAGTGATATGGGGATTTTTAAATAAACAGAAAATAAAATAGCCACTGCTTTGGTGTGGACCTACCTACAAGTACCTCAAATTACATAAGTAGAGCAAATACGAGGTCATTCATTACTTATGATTTTTCAAAGCATACCAGAGGTGTGTAAAGGTTAGCCTAAAAAACTTTTCTATATATCAAAGTTTACATACTGACGAAAAGTGAAAGGTGGTTTTTTAAAATTGCCACTTCACCCAACATTTTCCTGCGGCGTGTGAAAAGATCCAAATATTCAATAAACAAGTGAGAGGTCATAATTTTTGCAAAAATTTCAAGGTCAGTTATTATACAAATAAACATCTTAATGATAAAGCTATTATATCATTGTTTCACGAGTACATGTTATGTGCATGTTACATGTCAATAAACCCCATATGTTACATGTCAATAAACCATGGGTATACAACGATGAAGTTGTTCGCACTCTAAAATTAAGATGCATTTATTTCTTACATATAGAAATAGGATACATATGATTTCTACCATATATGAAATATAATAAATGACAGGATTTGCCAAATTAGTGTTTAACATCACATGCCAACCAATGAAATCGCTTGTTTTTGTTTTTTTTTTGTTTTTTTTTTACTACCCTTTTTTCGTTTAGACAGGCAAACTTTGTCACTAATTTATGAAACAGAACACATAATATTTAACAAATTGGAACGAAGTGCGCATGTGTAAACTGAATGTAGTACATGTAGCCCCCCTTATAATTAGGACGACCTGACATTGGTGAAATAATTCAAGCGAGAACTAAGATAACTTTATATTTACTTCTACTTTTATGGCAAAGCAATTATAAATTTAGAATGCAATGATGGAGAAAGCATAGAAAAACGCAGACATTTTTTTCTGTTATTTTGGCTTAACATGTATGAATCACAAATAAATATTGATTGTCTTTAAAATATGTATCAATTAATGCATACAAGCATTAAAGGTAAAGTTTCACTTATCTGTACACGCTAAGGGATTATTTCAGTGCATTTCACTTCACATGGAAGTGCCCTCAAACTTTACAGAGAGAAGGGCTAAGGTTAATATCACAAAAATCATTCACGTCCAATATTTTTCAGAAAATTGCAACCTTAAAGAAATTAAGTGCTACACGATGTAAATACAAGACTTATATATTGAATGACGTAATTGATAGATAAAATATGCACCCTAAACTCCTCCCATCGTATGGAAAACAGCTTTCTATAGGCTCAAGGCGTTCCAGCGATGTCAAATGAGGTTAAACATTGAGTAAGTTAGGTTTTACATAGTTAACTTTTTAACAATTAAGAACCCACCGTCGCTCGTTACGGTCGCTTCCTTTTAGGTTCTTAATGGTTAACATTTCACTTAATAAAAACTAACTTAAACTTAGAAATCACACAAAGCAGTGAAGATTTTGCATTGAATTCAATTTCAATATTCATACTCAATACCACCAGTACTTCAACTGACACAAAACGACAAATAATTTATGTATCAAAATAATGAAAGTAGGTATAATGATCCCAAGTGTAATTCTATTCTTTTAAAGTATTATCAAGAATGAATTTAGCACTTAATTTTCACAGACAGCCAGCATGTCTAATATACTACCAGTATTGAAATAGGACAAAGCCTGCCATGGCTCTATTTATAAAATAGTATTGGCTGCTCAATTTTTAAGACATATATTAAAATATGTTGTATTATTTTGTATATATACATATTATACAATTATTAAAATTCATCTGTACTTTTTGTAAAATGCAACCATGAAAAAGGATTTTATTACAAAGAGAAAAATGTCAGTTCATTTTGAAAACAATCCAAGTTGAATGAGAGGAATCACTTGTAAGGTTGTAAGGTCAGCCAGCACAGCCTGAAATTAAGATAAAAAGTCAACTAAAGTGTTTAAACTTCATGTTTTTGCATTTCCCATTTAGTATCATTTTTTATTCATTGAACCTTATATAATGTATGTACAAAATTTAGGTAACAACATTATATAAAAGCGCATTTAAATTACGTCAATAAAGTGTAAAGGTTAACATGCTGAAAGGCCTCTTGTGAATAACTTGTAATCTACTTGCAAGGCATTAAATTTTAATAGGATCTCTAATGTCAAATAAAAAAGATAAGTGATAATCATATCTGTATCAACGTTTGCAAGGAGTGTGGGTATTACTAGCAATCTACAATGCAATGTAGTATTTACCGTAAAATAAATAACATAGATTATATGTTAACCCATTGCTTCATGAGCATTTTGTGAAAAATGGCTGTTTTCATTGAAAAGTCTCCCGTTACAAGTTCAAATTGCTATAATACTATAAAAACTGCTTCAACACTAATCAAACTTGGCACAAATGTTGACTGGACCATTGCCCTTGCAACAACATGCTCAGGCTTAAATTTTCTGTTACCATGGCAACGAGGGGACATCTCAAAATTGCCAAAAATCACTATTTTGCGTTGATTTTTTCCATCAAAATTGATTTCAAAGTGCTGCAACTTCTCAATGGATTGAGATAGAATCAAATGCTTTTCAGCGTTGGTTACACGTTACCTTATGATCAATCTGGGGTCATTTACAGCCTCTCACAAGTCCAAAATTTTCTTGGCGATGAGGGGGACTCCGCCCCCCTTCAACCCCCCCCCCCTCAAACAGAAGGGGGCACATCCCCCTTCTGGCAACCCCCTGATGTATCTTTTGGTTGGGAGGCCGCGCCGAAAAAGAGGTCACTTTTTTAACAACATTTCTCAAACAAAAACAAGTGTTTGGGGCCTAAATAAGGCATTTTTTCATCATTTGAGACAACAAAAAGGGGGGGGGGGGTGAAAAAGGCGTTAAAAGGCGTGTATATGAAGTAATGGGTTAACAGAAAATGATGAAAATACTTGAAATTACCCTTAATCGCGTTTTTTTTAATGTTTAAACATGGTCTGTCATATAAATTTGAAGAAAAATTGTTGTTTTGTAGATTTTTTTTATTTTTTTCATTAACCCATTGCTTCATGAGCATTTTGTGAAAAATGGCTGTTTTCATTGAAAAGTCTCCCGTTACAAGTTCAAATTGCTATAATACTATAAAAAACTGCTTCAACACTAATCAAACTTGGCACAAATGTTGACTGGACCATTGCCCTTGCAACAACATGCTCAGGCTTAAATTTTCTGTTACCATGGCAACGAGGGGACATCTCAAAATTGCCAAAAATCACTATTTTGCGTTGATTTTTTCCATCAAAATTGATTTCAAAGTGCTGCAACTTCTCAATGGATTGAGATAGAATCAAATGCTTTTCAGCGTTGGTTACACGTTACCTTATGATCAATCTGGGGTCATTTACAGCCTCTCACAAGTCCAAAATTTTCTTGGCGATGAGGGGGACTCCGCCCCCTTCAACCCCCCCCCAAACAGAAGGGGGCACATCCCCTTCTGGCAACCCCCTGATGTATCTTTTGGTTGGGAGGCCGCGCCGAAAAAGAGGTCACTTTTTTTAACAACATTTCTCAAACAAAAACAAGTGTTTGGGGCCTAAATAAGGCATTTTTTCATCATTTGAGACAACAAAAAGGGGGGGGGTGAAAAAGGCGTTAAAAGGCGTGTATATGAAGTAATGGGTTAACAGAAAATGATGAAAATACTTGAAATTACCCTTAATCGCGTTTTTTTAATGTTTAAACATGGTCTGTCATATAAATTTGAAGAAAAATTGTTGTTTTGTAGATTTTTTTATTTTTTTCATTAACCCATTGCTTCATGAGCATTTTGTGAAAAATGGCTGTTTTCATTGAAAAGTCTCCCGTTACAAGTTCAAATTGCTATAATACTATAAAAACTGCTTCAACACTAATCAAACTTGGCACAAATGTTGACTGGACCATTGCCCTTGCAACAACATGCTCAGGCTTAAATTTTCTGTTACCATGGCAACGAGGGGATATCTCAAAATTGCCAAAAATCACTATTTTGCGTTGATTTTTTCCATCAAAATTGATTTCAAAGTGCTGCAACTTCTCAATGGATTGAGATAGAATCAAATGCTTTTCAGCGTTGGTTTACACGTTACCTTATGATCAATCTGGGGTCATTTACAGCCTCTCACAAGTCCAAAATTTTTCTTGGCGATGAGGGGGACTCCGCCCCCCTTCAACCCCCCCCAAACAGAAGGGGCACATCCCCCTTCTGGCAACCCCCTGATGTATCTTTTGGTTGGGAGGCCGCGCCGAAAAAGAGGTCACTTTTTTTAACAACATTTCTCAAACAAAAACAAGTGTTTGGGGCCTAAATAAGGCATTTTTTCATCATTTGAGACAACAAAAAGGGGGGGGGGGGGGAAAAAGGCGTTAAAAGGCGTGTATATGAAGTAATGGGTAAACCCATACAACTGTCATTTTAAGAAGGCAGCCAATTGAGTTTAAAATTTATTGCAATGCTGTTTTTTAGATTTCATTTCTGTTCATCAAACAATGGCCTTTTAAATAGAAAGTGATAAAACAGTACTTCGGATTAAATTTAAACTTGATTTCTATCTAGTAAATATTAAAGTTTTGAAATATTCTCTGAAGAAAATTGTTTAAATTCAGTTTCACAAATCAACAGACACCAACAAATTATTTTCTGTAATCAATGATCAAGTTGAAACTTAAAACTATCTTAAATATAAAATCGGGTAAGCCGATAACTCCTTAAGAAAATTCACACTCAGTGCATTATTTGAGTTGGTTTTACAAAAAAGATAAGATAGTGTTTTTATAAGCTTACAGTTTCCTTAACATTCCAACTTAAATACAATCTGTACTGTACAAAAATTCAACTAGAAAGAGCATGGTGCAAGAAATCTAGCTGCCAAGAACAACCACAAATTCACATGATAAAGTCTAGAGTTTAAACTTATGGATAAACAAATGAAGTAAATTTATGCATTATTCAAAAAAACTGTGTATTGAATTTACATTACCTCAGCTGCATTATAGGACTGGACTTTGAGCAGATTTGTCTTTCTAAATGAAAATATTGCCACTGCCAACACTGAAAGAGATATTATGTATAAGTTTAGGCCATCCTTAAAAAAATGTTTGTTTGCAGTAACGCTACTTAGAATTTTCAGTGTGGGTAGGTAGGTCGATTTTTTTATATTTTTTTCTTTTGCATGAACTCTACATATACTACTATAGACTAAACAGCAAAACAAGATCACTAATACCCAATATAGCATTTGTAATGTCTTTGTCACACAGCTTTTCCATGGGTGCTGCCATGTTGAATTATTAAATGAACGCAAAAAAATAAACTACAGCAAAAACAAAAACACTCTGGGATTTTCGCGAAAAAAAAATTTGCTTTGCCAGACCCTAAAAAATAGTTTGGGTAGGGGCAAATTTTGTGAGTCGGTCGTGTAACTGCAAACAAACAATTTTTTAAGGGTGGCCTTATCTTGATAAACAAACACTTAAAAGTGGTTATTTTTGTTTGATGATTCGCTATGGAATGGCAGGTTTATATTTAAGATATAATATGTCATTCTTGAGAAAATATTACAATCACAGAAATTCATTGAAATACTACTTGGTTCCAGGAACAGATTGAGAGTTTGCCTATACGTTAAAAGCTTCCAACACAATCAAACATAATCCCAAAAAAGAAAGTCCTAAACGTCAAAAAAAATTTCATGGACTGTAGTACATCGACTCTTCTCAAATCCTTCGTGTACTCTTTTAATTTTTCAATGTTAAAATTGTTGTGTTAACCCCGAACCACCTTGTTTCTTGGAACATTGGCATTATTCACAACCTCTGATCAGAATGTTCCAACATCCCAGGAATATATAACGGTACTTTAAGAAATGAAATGAAATGTGTTCCCAGATACCAGTTCATTTAATGATTATTTATATATATAAAGATTTCACAGTGTGCCCTTTAATTTTTTTAATGCAAATAAGAAGAAAACAAAATTATATTCAATATTAATATGATTGTATCAATATTTCTAATAATAGAGCAAACAGTTAAATACTTTTGATATCAAGATAACCACTGTGGTGAAATATAATTTGTGCAGTTTTATAGACATAATAGCTTACCATGTACCTATTTTCCTTTCAGCCTAAATTGTATACATACCACTTATCTTATTTAAATCCTCACCAATACTCTACATGTATCATATAAAACTACTATTGCAACAGTAATTGCAAAAGAAAAATAATAATTTTTTTTTGCAATAAGCTTTTCTATGCTAAAGAGCCAGAAGCAATGGTTTCAACACAAACTACTTTGCCAGGTTTGCAAAAACACCTGTGCAGTCTGAACAGATTTTACATTATAGGTTATACATGTTCTATATTGCTCAATTTTACTTTAATTCTAAAACTGAAATTCCCCACATTTCAAAACAACAGTTCCAATGTCAAAGATGAACATGTTGATTTAGCACAGTAAGTATTCATGAAATAAAGGTCAATTACCTGGCAGGATTTCTAAAGAGCTATAAGCAAGGACTCTGTCCCACAGCAGGAGAACCTGGTCGCTAGACAAATACCCTGAAAATGCTCTAACCAGCCATTTGAATGCTATTTTCAATCTGAAAATAAAACATGAAATAAAAAAGACGCTTATGTTAAATGAATGCTATCCCCCATTGTGATTGTGCAAAGAGTAAGTGCTAAAATATTTGTTGTTTGGGAACATTTCTTTTCTGAAAATGTGTCAGGGTTAAATTGTATACATATACATGCATACTGGAGTGCAGGTACAAGTTACCCGCACTCCAGAACGTGCCCATTGAGTGTCTCATTTTTTCTGGGGTTTACTTATTGTGACGACAGAGAAAGGGATAGCCATATAACATTCAGATGCTCATTCATTGGTTACTTTTTTATGGGGTTTCATATTGTGACAAAAGGGAGTGAGTTTTCTATTTTTGCCTATGATACAAAAGAGAAAGAACATCAAAACACTCATTGGCAATCAGATTTATACTCAAGGGGGGGGAATAGATAGCCTCATGTTTCTGTGCTAATTCTATTACTTATAGCAACTTATTTAGTTAAACATTAATCATGATTATAGAACTTTGCAGCTAAATCTGAATTCTACAATTTAGCAACATGAATAAGGAATAATACATAGTCAGTATGAGGGTATTTGTTTGTTTTCAATTTGAATGTAGAATCAATATAAATTTCACAACTGGTGCTTTCAATATACATATTATTTGATTTTTTACATTATTTAAAACAAACAAACTTTGTATTTATTCAAAAATTTTAAAGTTTTAAATAAGTGTCATTTAAGATCCTGTTACACAATTTTTTATGGTTTTATATCATAAATATGATGCTCACATTAAGATTTATCAATATTGTAAGTTCCAAAAAGCATTATTAGTAAATAAATTACTGAATTCAATATTTCATGTTAATAAATGGAGGTAATTAGTCATTTATTTTCTATAAAGTCTAAGTCACATTTTTCAATAAGAAATGGATGCATATATTTTATTGTTATCTATATAACATGGACACATTTATTTTACATATTCCTCCATGTTTGAAAATTGTTTTAGAAGCATAACTATATACAATATATAAAATTTCTCTTAAGTGTAGTAACAACCATAATTACAACATACAGGATCTTTAAGCAGTTTTGACTGGATTTGATCATGATTCTTTATGCACCCACATTTATCACAGAGTTTATGAGGAAATAATTCTGTGAATTTTTTAAACTTTGTTATATTTTCAGCATGACATGCATGATGCTTCCATGTAAACTTTACTTACAATGTTTGACCAAACAAACATCATTACTCATTCTTAATCAAATAATTTATAATAAGTTCCTCTACTATTTAATTACATTTTGCATATATTTCACTGGCATATTATCAAAACGTTATTTTATAATCAATTTATCAAAATATTATTTCACTGTCAACTGTAAAGAATGTCACATAATTTATTCAAACAAAAGTATCTCATATTTAGTTAGCAAAGCATTTCTGAGGTTAAGGTTTAAAACTTGATGACTATAATTTGTAAATTATACTAGTTTATAACAATTAAGCTATGTCACCACTATCCCACTCTCATCTGCTCTCATCTGCTTATTCATTGACAAATAGTATAGAATTACCATCTCAAATTATTAACTGAATGAAATTGAGAGGCATGGGTTTGAACCCGTAACAATGGTCAACTTTAGCGTGTTTTCCTTTATTCCTTTAAATATCAGCTATGCCCATCTGATAACTCTTAAAAAAAGTTTAACTTTATTTATGTAATTATAATAGGTATTGATTGGCTAAATAATGCTAAATCTAAGAACAAATTTGGTATATGGTATTTTCAAAGTATAATAAAATCAAAACTGCATGGTAAAAGTTATGAATATTTGACAAGATCAACCAATATTATAACTTTTAAGGAAATTAAGGCAAACTTTGAAAATAGCAGATCATTTGGTTAATTTCATAGATATTTTGAATAAGGCTCTCTAAGTAGGAAAATTGTCAAATAAGTGTTTAAAATTAGTTGGAAACAGTAACATTTTTATGCATATTTCAAACATTTTGAATGCAAACAAGTATTTTGCTTGAGTGATATCTTAGTTAATGAAAGCTATTATTTGTTTATTAACAATAATCAATAGGACAACATTTTTTCAATTTAATATGACATTATTGATTGTTTAGTATTTCCTCATTCTAAAATAGAGCCCTTCTAATATCAAAGCTTAAATTAAGTAAGTCAGAAACTGTACAGTAAATTTTGCTAAAATTTTGCATACAGGTGTCTTTAAAGGCATATATCTGACCTATGTTATCTATTGTTTAACTCCTTATAGTACCCATAAGGCTGGTCACACTTTAATCCCTTAAAGATAAGTTTGATATAGATGGAAAAAATATGATGAAGTAGAGATCATATATCAGTAGCAAAATGTATCTTATTTCTGTAATGATATATAATGCTCAAAAAAACCTGATAATTACCATACAGTTTATTTCAAAATGTAAAATAAACATCCCTTAAATACACACAGAAAATGTTACATTTTAAACACTGCACACTACAGCTGATCACAGAATGATTACATACTGTCATTCAAAAAAATGACAGTTTAAATAAAAATAGACCACATTTATTTGACAAGTAATAAGGAATGCAGCTTCCCAAACATAGTTTATACATTATCCTATTCAAATTAGACATATTCAGGAAGAGTTTACTAGATTTCAACACATTTCTACAATAAAAGTAAGTTTTTAATGGTTTTCAGTTAAATCAAAGGAAGGGAAATAATTTAGGTATTATAAAATAATCAGTAAATAGTGATTTACTTCCCTTTTATGCAAAAGAACTGGTTCAGGTAAATATTAATAATTTGTACTCATTGTTACAACATATAGATAAGAACCTTTGTACTAGTGTTATATATACAATACCGGTTTTGTACATTCATTGTTTGCTGGTTTGGGGTTTTCATATTTGAAAATCAATTTCTTAAGTGAGCAACACTTAAGGACAATCTCTTTTTCAAATTTAAATTCAATACCAAAATTATTTTGTGATTAGTACAATTTTGAATAAGTTCAAGTTTTGCATTATTTTTTGATAGCTATAATTTATTTTAACATACTACAAAAAACATATTCAATTTGTTAAAATGTAACACAAACATATGTTGACATATGAGGCCCACATGGAAGATTGGGAAACCAAATGTGTAGCCTCGATAAATAAAGCCTTTACATTGTATAACTGTTAATGTTTTGCAAGGATGAAGCCCAACATTCAGTGGTATTTGACAGCCACTTTCCTGTGATTGCAAATGGGCACAGTTTTCCAAAAATAGTTTTCCCTTAAATAAACACTGAAATCAAAAAATTTAAAAGGGTTTTTTGTATTTGGTTTTTTCCTGGATAAGTTGACCACGTTTTGCAAAGCATTTAAGTGACAGAGAAAAATTTATTAATCAATTACAATATGTATTGCTAAATGCCATAGTTGCACATTTATTGTGTCATCTTGTATACTAAATGTTGTCCCTAAATACAAGCATTCTCGCATTATTGCATTTGAGTGTTAAGTTGATATTTGTAGAAGTTTTGTAGAAAATAAGATGGTACAGATCTATGGAAATTTTTATTTTCACTTTATTAGTTATGCATCATATTTGACATATTTTGTAATAGAGTTATTTGCTACAGACACATTACAGTGTAATTTTTGAAAACGGAACTTTAACGGTTTTCAGTTAAATCAAATGAAGGGAAATAATTCTGGTATTATCAAATATTTAGTAAACAATGAGTTACTTCCCTTTGATGCAAAAGAAATGGTTCATAATTTGCACTCATTGTTACAACATATAGATAAGTACATGTAACTTTGTACAAGCATTCTTAATATAAAAACTTGTTTTTATATTACATTCAATGTTTGTTCAAAAGATGTGAGCTGTATATAATAAGGGTTTTCATATTTGAAAATCAGTTTCTAGCAAGCATCACATTGGGACAACTTTTTCAAATTGAAATTCATTGCCAAAATTATTTTGTGATAAGTACAATTTTTAATGTGTTCAAGTTTTGCAATATTTTTGGATAGCTATAATTCATTTTAACATACTACATAAAACAAATTGTTAAAATATAACGCAAACATATGAAGTTTTGTAGAAAATAAGATGATACAGTTCTATGGAAATTAATATTCTTTTTTAATTTAAAGTATTGCATCACATTGATATATTTTGTAAAAGAGCCATTTACTACAAATACATTATATAAGCAGGTTACTGAATGTTTAAGTGCTCACTGACTGTTGTACAATGACCTACTTTCAAATAAAAATTCACCTCCTTGGCTAAAACTCTGTGGAAATTGCATGGAGGTACACGTAATAACTCTGTGAAAATTGCATGGAGGTAAAATTCTGTGGAAATTGCATGGAAGTAAATATCATCACTTTGTGCGTAAAATTTAACCATTAAATGGCATCACTGCTGACATGTCCAGGGCCCAGTCACAATAGTGACAGCTACAATAACAGCAAAGTACTATACATGCAAGAGTAGTTACAGATATACAGACAGAGTGAGAGCTGTATAACAGAATTTAACTTAATAACAGAAACATTTAAGCCGAATAGTCTCAGTGCTTGACAGTTAGAAAAGGGTCATAACTTTGTAAAAAGGTAGCTCAGTGGGTACTTCGCCCATCATGTTTGATATTTTCAAAAACAAGTGTTTGAAGTTTCACCCCATTCTCTTGTGGTTTTGGAGATATCGACTTGCATTAAAAAGCTTAACAAAAGGGTGACACCAACAGGTAACATGAGTATTATAGCTCTCCCTATTCTTCGAATAGTTGAGCTATAAACTGGGGTCTCACAATTCATTCTATATCATATGTCTCAAACATTATTTAAGCTTAACTGTGAAGTCATGCAATTCTGTAAAACTCTGAAATATGTTTTAACTGTAAGATTCAAAGAAGGAATTTTTAAAATAAATTTGTACATACGGTTGACAGCCTACTGACTTGAGATGAAAGAATAATTCTGGTTCATGCGTTTGTAGTAGTGTCTCAAATAACAGACTCAGGCATAAAATACCCTGAAATATAAGACAATAGTATCTCAAATAACTCAAGAATAAAATGCCCTGAATTATAAGATATAGTATCTCAAATAACTCGATAATAAAATACCCTGAAATATAAGATAGTGTCTCAAATAACTAACTCAAGGATAAAATGCCTTGAAATATATGACAGTGTCTCAAATAATTTTCATCAAGAATACAATGCCCTGAAATATAAGACAGTGTCTTAAATAACTAACAAAAGCATAAAATGCCCTGCAAATGTCTCAAATAACTAACTCAAGAATAAAATGCCCTGAAATGTAAGACACAGTATGTCAAATAACAAACTCAAACAGAAAATGCCCTGATATTTAAATTATTGTCTTTTCAGCCCCAGTCATTTTTGCTCAAATATTGAAAAAAGGGTTAATGCAGCATTTTTCATGCACATACAACCATGCATTTAATGCCCAAGGCCTTAGTGCATGGGATTTGATAAGTCAGAAGGCTTCTGCAGATGTTATTGCACAAAAAAGTGCATAAGTGCTACTCTTGCATAATAGTAAATGTCTGATATGGTAATTTTGAATTTCTTCATTTGTTTTTCATATAGAAAAACCAGTTTCATAGTGTGATGCCATATGACACTTGTGTTTTGACAATGACCAAGGCCGTCACAGCTGTAAGCAGATTTTACATGGCACCCTGGGTCATGCATATTAAAGAGACATGCAACAATGTTTGCAACAAACAATAGTGTAATTATTAGGGATGTCATCTGGAGCCGAAACAGCCATCCGGATATCCGAATCAAACATCGGATACATCAGGATGTTCGGATCGTTGTTATATTCTTAGTTAGCTGATATGACGTAACCATTTTTTCGCGACCTTTTTCAAAGTGTAGTTCCTTTTTAATTGAATATAACGTATCAAAAGAATTTCGTTATTGATTTTTTTTCTATATAGATCTAGAATACGACTGTTATCGAAAAATTAAGTGCGTATGATACTTACGATTTCAAATGAAATGAAAATGAAATTCATCGCCGATGGTCTAAATTCCTTAATTAGTGCTATAATACACAATAACACTTGCTCACATTTGTGAAAACAAAATAACACCCGTAAAAAATTAAAATTTTCCATTGTTCAATAACATGCATACAATTTACACACAATGACCTTTGACAGGTGTGTAGCCGGCTTTCAAAAGAATCTGCTCATCTTTGATGTTTACCAACATGTAGCCCTGGCTGTTTGATTCGAATCATCAAAGAAGTTGCCGAAACTTACATGAATTACACATATTTTAAGTGTTCATAAGTGATAAAAACTGTGAAAAAAATTGTTTTTAAAAAAATGCACATGTTTGAAAGTTATTTTGTCGGATAAATATGGTATCAATTTCAATAAAAGCTGTGATAATTTACATATTATTATTCGTAAGTGCATTTCTTTATTTGCTTATATTTTTTTTCTGCAGATTTTTCATTTTCTCAAAATATTAAAGGAGTCGACGGGTCGGTAAGCCGAAATATATGTAAAAAATAGCCTAATTAAATATTTAAACTTTGACATAAAAAATGTAAAATCGTTGCCGGTGACAATCGCACGGGACTTAGAATATTCATCTTTAATCCTACAAAACTTAAAATTGTTTTGTGTTTAACATACATGTAGATTAACAACATGTGTCATACCCGACTCGTACTTATTATAGTAATTATTGATTTTTTTTGTGGTCTGCAGAGATTATGATGTGTATTGTCAAATTAAGGTACAATATACAATATGTTGTCAACACCATGTCTACGTCGATTATCTCAACGCATGTACATGTATATTTCACATTTTCTCAATATTCTGAAATATTTTATACAAACATCCGGATCCGAAAATCGGCTCCGGACACCGAATTGTGATCCGAACGTTCGGATATCCGGACTCCGAATGACATCCCTAGTAATTATGATGTCAATAGAAACCAATGATAATGTAAAATTTATATCAATAGAAACCAATGATAATGTAAAATTTATATCAAAATTAAATATTTTGTAAGTCTCTAGAATAATATGTCAGTATTATATTTGCATTTAAAAATGAATATATATATATCCTGTGATCAACAACAAAAATTTTAATGGAAAATAATGGGGTGGGGGGTAATCTTCTCTGATGTCTTTTTCAAAAATATTTGCCTACCTAGCTCTATATGACAAGAACATTCTTTCTCCTAACAAACTCACCTCTTTAGCACAAAAACTCCATTTCATGTTAAGATTAAGGACCATTTCTCATAATGTTAGTCTGTGGGAAAATCAATATGATCGTCTGACCTCAAAATGTTGTTACAATTCCATTAAATTATACTTATTTTATGAGATATAAAAACAATACCTGTGGATGAGATGATATACTATGAAGCCGGAAGAAATATCTTGTGTAGATTTCTCTGAACACATAATACAACGTTAACTTGACTGGTTTCTTGTATAGGTAACACAGAGGTGCCACTACAAATATAATAATATGAAACTTAAGTCTGCTGACAAAAATTCCTGCATTACTTAATTATTTTCCAGTAATTCACAAAAATTAAACTGCTCCGTGACAAATATCCGTAACACTATCAAACGGTCTCTGCGTTGTCTACCTGTTCGCTTTATCTACGTACCGCTTGCGAGCGCGCGAGTTAAACAAATTTTCCGTTGAACTGCCTGTAAAATTTGGCCTGCGATAAATAATTCGTTAAGAAGATATTTGCAAAACGTGTAATTCACTTCACCAAATGACATTTTCTACAGTAAAGATCCCATCCCGATATTAACATCCCGATATTAACCATTAATTCAAATAGAAGCAAAGTTAAACGACTTAAACGTGGTTTTCATAAGACAATGAAGTATAGATCATTCAAGACATTTAATGAACAATCTTTTCAGACTGATTTAGCTCGATCTTCTCTAAAACTGTGGATTATATTGTTGATCCAAATTTAGCTTTACAAATCTTTCTTTCAATAGTAAAAGATATTATTACCAAACATGCTTCAATAAAAGAAAAGGGAATTAAATTTGATGCACAGCCTAAATGCTTCACTGATGAAATTAAAGCAATGATATTTTTAAGAGATAAATATCACAAAAATGGAGATTTCGATAATTATAAATCATTACGAATTAAAATAAATTCAGAGATTAAGAAGAGCAAACAGAATTTCTTCAATATACAATAAATGAATAAAAAAATCCGAAATATATTTGGCAAAATATTAATGATTTAACTAATTAAGGTAAAAATGAAAATGTACTTATTCCCGAACGGCTCACTTTTGGCGATACTACATTTTCTGATCATGCTAATATTATAAATGAATTGAACAAACATTTTGTAAACATTTCTAATATTGTCGAAAAAGAACAGTTATCTAACGACGAATTTAAAATATTGAAGGATAAGTTAGATAATAAATTGAAATGGAAAGAATTCAAAATTGAAAGCATTTCTGCATTTGAAGTTAAAAAACATTATTGATAAACTAGATGCAAATAAATCCACTGGACTAGATGAACTAGGTCCAAAAATAATAAAATCGTGTGGTGACTTTGTGACCACAGTATTAGACAAGGAATATTTCCCGATGAATTAAAAAATGTCCGAGTTATTCCAATTTTCAAATCTGGAGTGAAAGATGATCCGAGCAACTATCGACCTATTTCTATTTTTCGTACAATATCTAAGATTTTTGAACGTCACAAAGCTAATCATTTACTGCATTTTTTCCAAAAAAAAAAACAAATATTTTACATAATAAACAGTCAGGATTTCGAAAGAATCATTCATGCAATACGGCCCTAATTCATTTGATAGACTCCTGGCTAAAAGATGTTGATAGTGGCAAATATGTAGGTACAATATTTTTAGACCTGCAAAAGGCGTTTGATTTAGTTGACCATGAAATACTTTTATATAAACTCAAACTATATCACTTTTCTGTCACATCATTAAAACTGTTTCATTCGTATCTGTCTAATCGTGTGCAAATAATTCAAATTGGAGACTTAAAATCGGACGTACAATATGTTACCTCTGGCGTTCCACAAGGTTCAATATTAGGTCCTTTATTGTTTCTTCTTTATATAAATGATCTCCCAAATATTTGCGAGGATGTTAACATAGATTTATATGCTGATGATTCCAAGTTGCATAAATCTGGAGATGACATATCAGTTATAGAGGAAAAACTACAATATAGCCTTAATATGATAATTAAGTGGTGTAAAATAAATAATATGCTTTTACACCCTAAAAAATCTAAAAGTATGCTGGTAGGTAGTAGACAAAAGCTAAAGATTGCAAAAGCATTAAATTTGAAAATTAACGACTCAACTCTTGACAATGTAGAATCACAAAAAACTGCTTGGTATATATGTTGAAAATACATGTACACTCAATTGGCATTGTCAGGTAAATGATGTGTGTAAAAATTGAACTCTAAAGTTAATTTATATAGGCGTATTAAGTACTTTTTAAATAAGGAATCTCGCATGCTTTTTATAATGCATACCTTCTTCCTATTTTTGATAATATTTGTAATATATGGGGAAAAGAAAACAAAAAATATATATGCCAAATATACAAAAAACAAACACGAATTTGCAAAATTATTCTAAACCTTCCAATGAGAAACCAACCAGAAAATTTATACAAAAGATTAAAAATATTGCCTTTCAAGGTATTTTGCACACCGGTGTCCAAGTATATAAAGCACTGAATAATATGTCCCCTCAATATATCCGAGACTTACTTACCATATCTAATAATCAAAAGTATAATCTAAGATCGATATCTCACGGAAATTTAATTTCGTCTTACCAACCACGTACTGATTATTTTAATGACACATTTCAATTTAATGCCATGGTTATTTGGAATTCCATACCACAGACTATAAGAAGACAAACAAAATTGTCAATATTTAAGAATAGTTTCAAGAAATACTTATTTAATCAACTTTAGCACGGTCCGTATGTATTATATGCAAGATACGCTCTTTATATTCATACATGTGTTTTTTATTATTATGTTTTCTAATAATGTCTTAGTTTCAAGTTTTTTGACTGTGTTAATTTTGTTAATTTTGTAAGTTAATTTTACTTTTTAAATTGCAGATTAAAATGATGCACTGATGAAAATATTATGTTTAATGATAAATAAAATGAATTGTATGAATGTTCAGTATATGTGTTAATATATGTTAAAATTATGATAACCATTTAATCATTTCTTTTACATGTAATATTTTCTTTGATTGATATGTGGTCTTTTGCTTGTGTATTTATTTTATCTTTTTATTTAAGAAGGCCGCATTGTAAATAAGATGTTGCAACCTGTATATGTCTAACCTTCGGTAAATAAAGTTATTATTATTATTATTATTATTATCTTTATAATTAAGTTTAATGTAGCATGTGTTTAGGAAAACAAAATGATTTTTTAAGTCATAAAAAAAACAGCTTTTAGAACCAGCAGAATAAATGAAATTATTTAGAAACAACGGCTTTTATATCAAAATATGCAGCGTAGACAAAGACTTTCATAAAAATATTCTGTTAAGGCGTATGCAGATCAAAAAGTGGTTCAATGGTAAAAGCATATTTATTTTGAAACGGAAATATAATTTAGATATGATGGTAAAATTTCACCCTACTACAATAGGAAGTTATTGAGATTGTACTTTAATGTTTACCACACGGAGGAATGAAACCGAACAAGTAACAAGTAATTTCTGAAGATATAGAATGTGAAAAATGTCGTTCTACTTCCATACTTTTTTATACAAAAAAAAAAATAAATAAACAAAAAATGTTTCCATCATCTCAGCAGGCAGCGTATGAGATATATAAAATTACATTTAAGGATAGATCAGGTGAAAATCATTATATAAATACTAATAATTGTTAGGATCTCTTGAATTAAAAAGTAAGAAATATCTAAAAAAAAAAATGGCTTGCAAGCAAGACAAATATACTATGCAAATATATCTTTTATATAAATTGTTTAATGAAAACAGACGATTTTTGTTTGGTAATTTAGAAGTGGGTCTTTGCTCAATGATGCCAACAACGAAAAATGGTGCTATTGATTATGTCTTTATTGCCAAAGAGGAAGGCCACAAAGCTATTTTTGAGAGAACTGACGACAAAAGCTATAAAAAAACAATACTTCTCAAATCAATGTACACAATTATCATCTCCTTTGGTAGAAGTAAACCTCTATTCATATCCTTTATTGGATGATCTGGATAAATCTCGTCTATGCATTCCAGTCAAGTATGTTACCACCGACATGGTAGGCAATAGTGTGACAGTCCTGAAAGTTAATCTGTCATCTGATAATTCTTTTTGAAGAAAAAGACATACTTAACAAGCAGGTAAGTATGTTTTTGCATGAAAAATAACTCATGTAAAACATAAGAGTATTCAACATTAAAGAAACATTCTTATTAAACTTGTTTAATTCACAATGCATTTTATTCACAATGCTACTCACACAGAAAGTGATATCAAAGGCAACACTTGTATTATTTTATCCTGTGTTTATTAGTAATAAAAAGTGTTATGAAAAGTTTAAAATAAAAAGGAATTTTATCATATTTTTGTTAATGAAGCAAGATATCGTGGTACACTTCTGGCGTATCCTAACAACCCATGAATTAATGAGACGCTATTCCTTTCTAAATAAAATCGGCAATTATTGGCACGTTCTTCTGCACTTGGTTTTAGTCTTTCGCATATGTTCCTTTTGCTAGTGTATTTACTGATAACTGACAACTCGTATTTTTGAAACGATTTTAGCAATATTGTTCTTTTCTCATACGTATTGACGAACAATGGCATGCGGTGTTTCCTCTCCGTTACATTACCAACTGATTTACCGAATGTAATATAACACATTTGTGGGATTTTGTCTAATATATTTCAATCTGTGAAGCAATCAAATTACATTATCAAAACTTACGTGATATTTACCTTGACTTCACCTGGAATTTTTAAAAAATATAAGTTGCCGTATTTCTTATGTATTTCAAGACCATTTGTGCTTTAGAAATGCGTTTGTTTTTATTTCTTAAAGGGTTTGTGGGTACTTTATTTTGTTTCAAATATTAACCCATTTGCCGATTAACTGATTGCTTTTAGCAATTAGTACAGCTATAATGATTAAGTGTTTGAATGGAAGAAGAATAAAAATTTTCTTTTAGCGCTTTTTCCATCAGGTAACAAGCATCTTACACTAATACCCAAGTAACAGACTCTCTCTCTCTCTCTCCCTCTCCCTCTCTCTCTCTCTCTCTCTCTCTCTCTCTCTCTCTCTCTCTCTCTCAAATACAGTTTTGCTGCCTTTCTGGCATAAAAATAAATGTTTCCTAGTATGCGACATAAACAGGCAATACTATCAGATCTAAATGTT